CTGTAGTGGATACTCTCCCCCTACAACTGCCGACTGATCACCTGCCGTTCGCTTACCAGCCAATCAGCTTACAGCCAGCGACGTCGACAGTCTCAGGTTCGGACGGAGGAATACTATCGCCGACTGAGTCTTGAGCTTCCTCGTCTCAGCCAGGATCAGCGCTCCCATCCTCTCTCGCGTACTTCACGGTGATTGGCCCCGCACATTTCACACCCCATGTCTCTGATCCTGAAACAAGAAAAAAAAGAAGACCCAAGAAAAGACACGTTACCAAGAAACAAGAACACCACGAGACCCCAGGGGCAGAAGCCCTCATCAAGATCACCCCCTCCGACTTCATCCACATCTACGAACACCTCGGGCACGACGAAGCACAGGACCTAAACACTACCGAATGGACAATCCAAGAGAGCAAGAAGAGGAGGAAAAGAAAATCATCAACATCAAGCTAACAAGAATACCAAGATAGAAGACCAAGATATTTCCACCAAACAAGAAAACACCACACACCCAATCAAGCCGACCAAGTACTGAGAAACCATTGCCCATGTGCCCAACCCGAAACGCACCTGACGTTTGACCTGACACTCACCTGAGTCAGGGTCCTGCCCCCTCCTAGCCGCGTCCAGGGAAGTTGCTGCTGCCTCAAACTTACAACCCCACATCACGCAAGTGGGGTTAAGCTACTGCACCTTTCCTCTCCTTGTAAAATTCACTTCAATCTTCCCTTTATCCTTCCCCTGAACCTCCTTCCCCCCTGTCAAGTCTGCGGAGGTCATTCTACTCTACTCTCCTGAACCAGCAAGACCTCTCAACAAGCTCCTCACCAACCAGCTCCCTCAGCAAGCTCCTCACCCAACAGGACCTCTGAGCATTGTTTCTATTCTACCTCCATCCTTAGTGTGAGATATCCTACATGTACGTACGTATGTGAGCCCATACAAAGATATAATAGACAAGCAAAGAGAATTTGACAACTGGCCACATACTGTACGCTACAAAGCCTTGTGCTAGTTTTCGTAAAATGTGCCTGATATTTTTTCAGTGATATAGTAATATCTTATTAGAGAATATGTACTGGTTCGCAAAATTTCTGCATTCTTCGATATATGTCTCATCAGTATTATTTAAAATGAAAATTTGTCATAGAAGGATAATACCCACGTATATACTGGACACTTTTCTGTTGCATCTATTCGTTGTAATAAAATTTTACCAATTAGCAAGTTCAGAATTTTCTTATTTACCTCAGAGATAGACCCAGATTTGGTGATAAAGAAGCAACAAAACACTAGACAATAAAGTTCGGAACAAAGTAACAAAGAACATGACCAACCGCTCGAACAGATCGTAAGTGGTGAAATTATGTAGACCGCTACAAATAGCAACTATTTGGCTAGATTGATACTACTGACGCTGACTTGGCACTTCTGTTTAACTTGTCGAATGTCACTGTCTGTAATTGTGACTTTTTGTAATATCAGCAGGACTTGTGAAAAATTAGTTTATTGTGTAATTTAATACTAATGAAGGGGCTGTTCATCTAGGATACATTATATCTGTAAACAAATTTAGATAATTTCATGATGACAGGAATATTGTCCACGTCATGTCATTCATAAACAAACGTTGCGTGACTTTTTTTCTGACGAACAAAGACATAATTGTTTTGTACTATTTCCTACAACATTCGCACAACAAAGTTTGATAGTAACTAATCCATATAATGTCGGATTTATCTCCATCGGACCAGCTGATTGTGTATGAATAACAGCATAAGATTCTGTTATTCCTCAGGTGACGTGGATGAGCTTTCGGTGCTTATCAGAAATTCGTATCTTGGATTTCGTTCCAATTTCAGTCGCGAACGCATTTTTAACTAGTTCTTTCATGTAAAAGGATACTGATGGGGCAGGACGTGTTGGCGGTACAGAGGTTGAAACAAGAAAACGAAGTAGAGCGCGGCAAGGATTATCCTCGCACCGTACAGAGAAGCAACGAGCATAACTCTCACCAATAAGTCAAGGGTTTGATGCTCAGACACACGTGAGAAGGGTGTTATCCAGGCAGTGTGATCCTACTAAACATCACAGGTTTCCCAGTCCCCGGTTTCCTCCTTTACTAACACTGGATAGACCACCCAAACGGCTAGTAAGCTGACGAGCGCGAAAAAAAAAAAAAAATAAAACCCACAAGCAACAGATTCAGTCAGTGGAGATGAAAATAATGTGATGCAAACTTTCTTACATTGATTCTTCCCTTTTTTTTAAACAAATGTTTTATGTATTCACTGAGCTTGATTGATGATCGATTTACTCAGAAGTATTATTTTAGTTTCGTCTCCCAACAAGTAGTTTTCATTTTCTTTGGTTCATTCTTTTGCTTGACTGCTATCTTATAAAAAATCATGAGTGGGTCACCAGCATCAGCAGCGGGGCTGTCGGGTTTATTATTCAGAAATTTATAAAACTAATGACAGGAACAATGAAATTCACTGAGTATGAGGACTACTCTAATATAATTACTGTATCTGGGATCTTCGTTACCCCTCACCACACATTACTGTATCTGGGATCTTCGTTACCCCTCACCACACATTACTGTATCTGGGATCTCCGTTACCCCTCACCACACATTACTGTATCTGGGATCTTCGTTACCCCTCACCACACATTATTGTATCTGGGATCTTCGTTACCCCTCACCACACATTACTGTATCTGGGATCTCCGTTACCCCTCACCACACATTACTGTATCTGGGATCTCCGTTACCCCTCACCACACATTACTGTATCTGTATCTGGGATCTTCGTTACCCCTCACCACACATTACTGTATCTGGGATCTTCGTTACCCTCACCACATTACTGTACTAGTATCTGTTACCCTCACCACACATTACTGTATCTGGGATCTTCCCTCACCACACATTACTGTATCTGGGATCTTCGTTACCCTCACCACACATTACTGTATCTGGGATTCTTCACCCTCACCACACATTACTGTACCTGGGATCTTCGTTACCCTCACCACACACACTGTACCTGGGATCTTCGTTACCCTCACCACACATTACTGTACCTGGGATCTCGTTACCCTCACCACACATTACTGTATCTGGGATCTTCGTTACCCCTTGTTACCTGTATCTGGGATCTCCCACACATTACTGTATCACCACACATTACTGTATCTGGGATCTTCGTTACCCCTCACCACACATTACTGTATCTGGGATCTTCGTTACCCCTCACCACACATTACTGTATCTGGGATCTTCGTTACCCCTCACCACACATTACTGTATCTGGGATCTTCGTTACCCCTCACCACACATTACTGTATCTGGGATCTTCGTTACCCCTCACCACACATTACTGTATCTGGGATCTTCGTTACCCTCACCACACATTACTGTATCTGGGATCTTCGTTACCTCACCACACATTACTGTATCTGGGATCTTCGCCCTCACCACACATACTGGGATCTTCGTTACCCCTCACCACACATTACTGTATCTGGGATCTTCGTTACCCTCACCACACATTACTGTATCTGGGATCTTTGTTACCCCTCACCACACATGTATCTGTCCCCTCACCACACATTACTGTATGGATCTTCGTTTCCTCACCACACATTACTGTATCTGGGATCTTCGTTACCTCACCACACATTACTGTATCTGGGATCTTCGTTACCCCTCACCACACATTACTGTATCTGGGATCTTCGTTACCCCTCACCACATTACTGTATCTACTGTATCTGGATCTTCGTTACCCTCACCACACATTACTGTATCTGGGATCTTCGTTACCCCTCACCACACATTACTGTACCTGGGATCTTCGTTACCCCTCACCACACATTACTGTATCTGGGATCTTCGTTACCCCTCACCACACATTACTGTACCTGGGATCTTCGTTACCCCTCACCACACATTTCTCGTCTATTATAGAAAATCATAATATTACGTCATGTTCTCGCAACCAATCACAACGCGAGCAGTTGGACCAATCAGCGTGTTCGGTAAACGAGTCGGAAACTCCACACAGAGTTGCCAACTTAGCGACTTTGTAGCTAGATCTAGAGCTTTTTGTTTTTTCTAGCGACATTTTAGAGCGATTTGCGACTTGTCGCAAATCTAGAGATATCCACAGAAATCTAGCGACTTTCTGGATACTTTTGGACTGTCCATGAAAACTCGGTTTTCCTAATTTCGAGCCATAATATATAGCAACGGGGTTACAGGGACAATAAATAATAAGAAAAGTTTAATACATTTGAACGGGTCGTGGTACAGAAGGAGGGACACGTCTATTTCCTGATCACTTGATGTCAGCCCGTCCATGCATCTAACACCCTAAAATTGTGGTCAGAAGTGGCAAATTACAGAGATGCGACAGGTGAAAACCCTTACCATGATCTGGCTGAAATTGCACTCGCTGCCTTATCTCTTCCGCATTCAAACGCAGATGTAGAGCGCACATTTAGTAATATGAACTTTGTGAAATCAAAATTGCGCAACAAAATGAAACTATCGACATTAAAGGCAATTCTTACAATAAAGTATGGGTTAAAAAGACAGAACACCTGTTGTGCAAGTTATGAACTTCCTAGTGATATTTTAAGAAAGATAGGGACTGTGGAGGCATACAGTTACAAGAGAACCTGAACCAAGCACTTCACATGCTTCCAGCTCTACAGTTGTTCACACTACCAAGAGGACTGGGATGCAATTACTATTGAATAATAGGTAAGTGTGCACATTAAACTTTAAAAAAAATAATATTTTTATTTTTACATAATGCATTTTATTTATACTCCGTCCATTATAGTCGGCATTATGAAAATATTATTTGCATCAAATTACTGAAGGGGGGGAATAATAGCTAGCGACTTTCCATGGAAGATTTAGCGACATTTAGGTACCAGCCTAGCGACATTTGAAAATACGAGTTGGCAACCCTGATTCTCCACAGTGGACCCGTCCAGTACGTGTGAAGCCGAAGGTGCACCGCTGGTGCTGTCTCCAGGCAACCCACCACTCCACAAGTAGACTGCGACTCCCCTCACGGACAGTATATCACTGATCACTTCCAAAAACAAGGTAAGAGACCACGACCCGTTCAAATGTATTAAACTTTTCTTATTATTTATTGTCCCTGTAACCCCGTTGCTATATATTATGGCTCGAAATTAGGAAAACCGAGTTTTCATGGACAGTCCAAAAGTATCCAGAAAGTCGCTAGATTTCTGTGGATATCTCTAGATTTGCGACAAGTCGCAAATCGCTCTAAAATGTCGCTAGAAAAAACAAAAAGCTCTAGATCTAGCTACAAAGTCGCTAAGTTGGCAACTCTGAACCTAACCCAACCTAACCTAACTTAACCTAACCCTAACCTAACCAATAATTAACCACAGAGAAGAACAGTATATTTTACCCTCAACTATTTAATTATGTCCGTAACTTTTGAAAGCCCTTACTGTTGTCAGACAAAAGCCACCCCGATCAAAGTAGGGGGCTTTCGTCTGGGGGCTTTTGTCTGGGTGGCTTTCGTCTGGGGGGCTTTTGTCTGGGTGGCTTTTGTCGTGGGGCTTTTGTCTGGGTGGCTTTTGTCGTGGGGCTTTTGTCTGTACCCCAGTGAGGATAGTGTCTTAGTATAAAATCGCAATGCTGTGAAACAAAATCTTAATATTTAATCTCAGTACCGCAGCAAAAGTCACATCAATATTTTTTTAACCAATACTTTAATATTTCTTACCTTATAGTATTATGTCTTCCAACGAAGTAAATAACTGGATCGAAAACACAAGAGAACTTAAAAGTCGTCTAGCCTCCCCTCGTCTTGTCACGATGGAGACTTGTGCAGAACTGAAGTGAATTGCTTGTAACTGGTGGATTGGTCGGCTGTACATGAACTGATATGACCCGAGACTGCATGGTTTTGCAGCTACTGGAGACGTTAATTCCTTCCCTTTGTATCGTTAATCCTCGACCTAACACCTGACCCACACCACATGAGCTCACTGGCGTACTTGTTTGAAGTTGTTTCCTTAATCCTCAACAGGTTACAGGTTGTGTGTGTGGCGGGGGGGCATAGCAAGGGTGTAGCTCATGACGGCCGTGATGATGTGGGTCAGGTGTTAGGTCAGACACGACAAGGATAAACTTGCCGCCGATACAAAGGGATGGATTAACGTCTCCAGTAGCTGCAGATATGGGTGATGAGCAGACCCAAAAGTGCCGCCCGGGGCGGACCGCCCCCCCCCCCTAGCTACGCCAGTGGAGCCCACCCTGTTCCAGAATTTGGGTACAAACATCCAGTATCTTGAGTAATTGTGTTAAGCAGGAGCATCCTGGTTTAAAACTGCTGGCAGTCCTTTACAAGGATGTTTCGTATAAGATGTTCCATCTTGCCATCTCTTATAATGCTCTCAAGTACTTTATACACCATGATAGTCAGGCTCACTGGTCTATAGTTATTTGTAGAGTGACGGAAGCCATTTTCCAGTCACTAGGGACATTTTGCTCATCCAGGCATTTACAACACAGGATCTTCAGGGGCTCAGCAAGCTTATTGTACAACACTCGTAGCACTCTGGAATGCACCATATCAGGGCCAGGACTCTTATGAACCTTTGGCTTTGACAAATTGTTTTTTGTACCCTCTTCTGAGAACACAATGTGGGTCAGCACTGTGTCAAACCGTCTGTCCTCAAACGCAGAACGTGTTTGCGTCCTCTCTTGTGAACACCAAGGAAAAGAATCTGTCCAATGCCTTGTCCTGGTCAGAATCTGTGTACTGTAACTATCATCTTCAAGCCTCAGGTCTGATACGCTTACTCACGTTTTTTAATTTTGACTGCGTAGCGGTCAGGGCCGGATTCAGGAGTGGGCAAAGTGGGCAGCTGCCTAGGGGCCTCCACATATTACAATATTTTATTTATTTGTTTATTCATTTGGATTATTTATTGTTGAGTTAATACTTATTCTGAATCTACCTGACCTTGGATTTAAAGAAGCCTATATATGCATTCTTGGACAGAACCATTATTTGAGTAGAGGTTTATCTGATTAATAATGCAAAGAATCATCTTTCTGTAATAACTAATAATATATTCTTTTCTGTGAAGTCTCTTCAAAATTTTTGACATGTGCAGTAGTAGCTATATCAGGGCTGGTCGACTTGAAACCACATGACTCCAGTCATGTCTCACTTTTGTGTGTGTGTGTGTTGGTAATTTGTGCATTATCAATAAATATACAGTTAATTAAAAATTTCTCAATGTTCTTATTTTCTCAATATAACCAGTGCTGGATTTAGACCTGTGGAGGCCCATGGGCAGCCTCTTTGTGGAGGCCCCCCTCATTATAACTACCCAAGAGGGTGGGGTGGTGAGTGAAGCGAGCCTAAACATTTTGAAATTTGAACATTTCTTTGGAGAATTTTGAAGCCATACGCAGTTATATATAAACTTTCTCAAGCAACTTGCAAGTTGCTTGAGAAAGTTTATTAAATGAGTCATATCCATCTATGTTGAACTCACATTCTTCAGGGTCGAGTCTCCTGTTCTTGTAGTACAACAATTCTACCACACCTTCCATATCGGGTTGATGTACTTTGAGTAGGGTTTCAAACTACGCTCTTTTATCAAGGAATGTGTCTATATTAGTGTACAGTCAACCCTCACTTTACGCGGTTAATGTAACCCACAGGGTACCGCGGAAAGTGAGAAACTCGTAAAGTGAATAACATAACATATGGGATTAATTGAAATAGAGACCGGGCCGACCCCCAAACTCCACTTTTTGACGACACACAACTATGTTGTAGTAAAAATATTATCTTAACTTTATGATAGTATGCACACACAATTAATAATTAAGAGAAATATCAATAATATTAGGTTTTTTAACACTTACATTAGTAGAAAAGATGGCTGGGCACACGGGGATGGGCGGTTGGTTCCGAGGCAGAGGGCAGATTATTGGCCCTCACTTGTATCAATTGTATCACTATCCACCACAGAGGCTTGCAGGGCCTCTTTGTCAAACCCCCCAAAGTCCATATAAGTCCATATCCTCACCATAATTATCACTATCACTGACTTGGGCTGGCTGTGGTGGGTGGCGGGTGAAGAACTGGTAATGTTTTGATGACTGGGCGACCTTGTGCGCACCATGTTCGCGCCGCTTACACAACATGGCGGATGGCGGGAGGTTTGGATCCAAAAATGGCCCGGCTTGCCAGCCGCTCTCCGCGTAAAGGGGTACACGCACTGCGGAATGTGAGCATCCTGGGTTCCGGCAGGGCACCGCGTAAACGTGGAAACGCGGAATGTGGGACCGCGTAAAGTGAGGGTTGACTGTACATGACTTTCCCCCATTCTCAGCAGCTGCCTTGTTTACTAAATACTGTACAGTACAATGTATTTTGTGTCCATAGAAACTTCAGATTTTGGAATTATTATTTTCTTTTTCAACTTTGCAGGTGTTCAGCGAGACATGGATAACAATATAGAAAAAGACAACAGTGGCAAAGTAAGTCCTCATGTTTCTGAAAATTTGTAACTACTTACATAAGAACATAAGAAATAAGGAGTCTGCAATAGGCCGGTTGGCCTGTACATGGCAGCTCCTGTCGAGAGTTACTACCACTCTCTATCATCCATGAATCTATTTAGCCTCCTTTTGAAACTTTCCAGAGTTCCAGCACTTACTACAAAGTTGCTAAGTTTGTTCCACTCGTCCACCACCCTATTTGTGAACCAGTTTCTTCCTATCTCCCTCCTAAACCTAAACTTATCCAACTTAAATCCGTTGCTCCGAGTCTTATCCTGCTCGGATATTAAAAGAACTTTATCTATATCCCCTTTATTGATTCCTTTCACCCACTTAAATGCTTCTATCATATCTCCCAGAACTCTTTGTCTTTCTAGGGAATGCAAGTTAAGTTTCTTTAACCTATCCTGATATGGAAGGTTTCTAAGTCCCGGAATCATTTTCGTCATTCTTCGCTGCACCGACTCTAATGAATTGATATCCATTCTATAATAAGGGCACCAGAACTGAACCGCATAATCGAGGTGCGGCCTGACTAGCGCAAGATATAGTTGCAATAAGACCTCTGCACTCTTATTACTTACACTTCTAGATATAAAACCCAATACTCTGTTTGCCTTATTTCGAACATTAACGCACTGTTTTCTAGACCGTATGTCCAGGCTTACAAGTATCCCTAGGTCTCTTTCACAAGTCGACTTCTCTAGGTTGATGTTGTTAAGGCTGTATACATTGTCAGTATTTGTTCTTCCAATATTAAGTACGCTGCACTTGCTGGTGTTGAATTTCATTTGCCATTTTTCAGACCACCCCTGTAGTTTATTTAGATCCTCCTGTAATGCATTTGCATCCTGCTCTGAATTAATCTGCCGCCCTATTTTGGTGTCATCCGCAAACTTGCTTATGTCACTGCTGATCCCAGTATCTAGATCGTTTATGTAGATTATGAACAAGAGTGGGCCTAGTACTGACCCCTGGGGAACCCCACTGGTTACACGGCCCCACTTAGATTTAACACCATCTACGCTGACCCTCTGCGTTCTATCGGTGAGCCATGATTTTATCCAATTTAAAACTTTCTCCTCGATACCATAGCCTTAATTTTTCTCAGAAGCATGTGATGCGGTAATCTGTCAAATGCTTTGCTAAGGTCTAAGTAAATAACATCATAATTTTTGTCATTATCTACTACCTTGAAGACTTTCCTAAAAAACGTCAGCAGATTTGTTAGACAAGATTTTCCCTTTGTAAACCCATGTTGTGAGGCGTAGATTAATTTGCTTTTCTCTAGATCCCCTTGACTGTAAGTTTCATGAACAGAATTCCATTAGGAGATTAAAATTCTGCCAACATGTTTCCATTCTAATAAAAGCGGCGGACAGAAGTCTGAAGTCTCCTCCACCGCACATAATTTATTTAGAAACATATTCGACACATTGTTACCTTCATACTGGTTTAAAAAAATAATATGTCTGAAATGACAACTGATTGAAAATTTCTTAAATGACACAAGTGTCAAACACTGATAATGGTATGTTATCAATAGTCAGTCAATACACACCCCTCACTTGGTTGTTATTTCTTTACAGATAAAGAAATAGATATAGCTTATAGAAAGGGAATTAGATGTGCTTAGGAAGTCATATATTTTCATTTGCAGTTCACCATCCTGACACAACCAGACGTGACATGTACCTCGGATACTGAGACAGATTGCCAGCACTATTATTACTAATATATGTTTTACTTACTTTATTAGTACAATATAGTAAAGTAGATTGTTCTAGCAAGCAACAAGTACAGTACTGTACATGTGAATAAAGAGTCACTGCAATTAACTTTAAACCTCCTCTTGCTCACAGTACAGTTGTACAGTATAGCCAAAGTTTAACATGAACAGTATGGATGTTATTTGCGTAATATAGAAGACGAGGAAAATAAAAGATATAAACTTAAGACTCAATTGAGTGTTAATAGTTCATCAATCACGAGGCACCTGCCTCCACTTCCCTCCCTGCCACCCCCCCCCCCTTACATTCTCTTTACGTCAATTCACCTCGCAAGGCAAAAGATACACTCTAGTGACAGTCTATTTAATGCATTTCTTATTAAACATATGAACATTCCACAAATCTTTACATTTATATATTTGTTTTAATATTTTTTTGCTCTGATTCCATAGTATGTTTACTATTGCAAGTTTCCTATAACCAAATACAGGGCTGCCACACTGCACAAAACCTGACGAGCCCCTGGAATCGCACGAGTGAAGGGGACTGTACAATGTGAAACACAAAAGTATTACAGTTACCCTATAGAAAAGCATGTGGAGTTCATGCTTAATTTCTTAGATGGTGAAAAGACACGAGTACCTGAGGGACCATTGAATGACTTGCCAAGTTACGAGTGAGGGAAGGATAATTGTACATATAGAAGGATTTCCTGTCATGTACAGTTTTATCTGTTTGTGGCAAAGCATTGTAGGTCCGTGAAGTGGCCATGCCAGAAGATGGAGGGTAGTGGCATATGTATGGTCACTCCATTGTTCTTGAGTCTCATCTTTGGCTATTTTGAAGCCCATTACTGTTCCCATCTCCACAGCTTGGGCTGATATGCTGTTCCATATGTGCATCACTCTCAGTATGTCTTCATACCAGGGGTTGGCAACCTTTTGAACACACTGTGCCAGTTTTTAACATTTCTACTGCCCTGCTTGCCAACTTTAATTCTCAATATGCAAATTATTGTCTTGTGTATATTGATAAATTATGCTTTCATACATATTTGAAATACACACAATTACATATGATATATAAAATACTGTATAATCAAATACTATAAAATGCTCTCACATTTCAGTGTCTGGTTGTTCTATGTCCACATATGCAGTCAAATACATCAGTCTTTATAAACTAGACTTCTGGCTTTTGTGTACCAACACTTGATTGGCCCGGCTTCTAGTATTGTTATACAGTATGTGTGTGTGTGTGTGTTTGTGTTTTGTACTTGTGTACAGTATATAAATAGATATATTCTGTTTATATTCCTTATGCATTTTCACTGTTTTCAAGATAGAGGTGAAATTTGGTAAGGAAGTGAGGGTGATCTTGTGGATGGTCGTGCACTATCTCGTCCCTCCACTTGGGGTGTGTCAGCCCCACAGGCATCCCCAGTCAACCCAACTGTCAAGGAGTACATACCTTTACAGTTGGGAATGTGAAGGTGGTTGAGAACAGTGCTGGCCACACTGCCTCCTTTCATACCAAACACTTAGTAGGCAGAATCCTTTATCCACTTGGCCCCCAATGGGCCATCAAGGCTGTGGAACCCACTTTCATTTTTATTATCCCAAGGTAGGAATCATGTAAATCATAACTCTTATTTCAATGAAAAATAATATAAGTCTTTTGTTAATATAATCCTTAGTTCATTCATTTCTCATACGGGTATTTTTTTATTTTTAAGAGCTCCTTCTCTGGTGCAAGGCAGAAGCAACATTACAATAATTCAAGGGGGCGTGGTAGACAGAGAAGTTCTCATTCTAAAAACCGTGAGTCACCTCCAGAATACAGGCGACAGAGGAAGACTTCAAACCAAAGAATCACTTCTTGGTCTTATTACCATGAAGGAGATGTGGAAATTCCAGAGATTTGTGTTTACTCCATTGACAAGCGCTGTATGTATGAAGATACTGGGTGCCTTAGACTCCATGCCAAGTGCACATGTCAGTGGCAGGTTATTCAAGATGGCAAGTGGTTCAACTTTAGGAATTTTCATTCAGAAGAGCTTGAGAATGCTTTTCTGGATGTGACAAAGGATTCTGTAAAAATTACACCACTTGATCCAAAGTTGTTGGGATCTAGTGGTCGTGATATGATCAAGATACTCGGAAATGGACAGTGGGAGGCAGATTTTGAAAACTTAACATTGAAAAATCTCACATCTCAAAGTATATTAACAAGTAAATTATTTATTCGAAGATTGTCAACTCAGTCGGCAGCTGTTTCCAAAAGTGGAAAGGCAACCAAATATGAATGGTACTTTTGTGATAGTAAAAAGAAGTGGATAAAATATGGTGATGTTGACAGCCTGGGACATAATCATCTGGTACCACTTATAACATCAGATGAGATTGAGTTAAACTTCTCTTCCGATTCCTCTGTCCAGATGATGTTTAATAATTCACTTTATCGGTACCAATTAGATTTCAAAACAATGAAACAAAAGAACTTAAATACTGGCAAAGAAAGATCAGTACGTCGAAGGCCTGTGAAAAAACAAAGCACAAAGCCAAATCCTCGGGGTAAGAAGGAAAACTTACCCTCAACGTGGGATTCCATGAAGGACAATGACACAATGATAAAAGTATCACTGGATGTGTCTAGCCAAGAGTATTGTGATGTGATGAGTCAATTGCTTATCACTGTTCCTGCAGCACGAGTGGTATCAATTATGCGGATTCAGAACCCGTTTTTGTGGAGACCCTTTCAGAACAAACAGGCAGAATTAGCCATTAAGTATGATGGATATGAGAAACTCAATATTCAAAAACTCTTCCATGGGACAAGACATGAATTCATAGACGATATCTGCAAGAAGAATTTTGACTGGAGGTTACATGGGTCAAGTACTGGACAAGCATATGGCAGGGGAAGCTACTTCTCAAACAGGTGAGTATAGTAAAAGGTAGTACTAGTTTATGTGATTTCCATATTGTTAACCCCTTCACCACTATTTTATTTGGCTAATACCAGACAACACTTTTTCAGCACAGAGAGACTCCTAGTACCCAGGGGGGGTTAACATTGTGTGTTTCAGAGCAAGTGAGCAATCTGTCTGTCACAAGTAGAATAAACTTTTTGAGTCCAGTTATTTTGGAAACTAAAGAGTTTTCTAGAGGGTTGCATAGTATTGGGGGTTTGGAATTAATAGGAGTGCAAAATTAAAAATACTATAGAAAGTATAACCATGGTAATGTATGAATAGAGGCAGAAGATTGTGCATGTGTCTACCTTAATGCCTTTTGAAATTGAATGTTTTCAGTGCATACAATATATCATCTGAAGCGTAATATTTTCAGTTTGAAAACTTTCTGAAGATCTACAAATGTAAAAAAAAAATAATAAAACACCCTTTTGGCTAATGAAAGAATAAATTAATATTATTAAAAAATCTCTTGCAGTGCTGCTTACTCTCTTAAATATGCAAAACAAGACTCCTCTGGCCACTGCTTTCTGTTCCTGGTTGAAGTAATAATTGGAAAAGTGACACGAGGAATTGAATCCATGAAACGTCCACCCCTGAATCCTGCCACCAGTGAGCTGTTTGATACGACAGTAGATAATGTAGATTCTTCAAAAATATTTGTGAAATATGATTCACAGGAATATTACCCACTTTATACCATACAAGTTAAGTGTTAGAGGACACAGGAAGGTTCATTTATGTTTAACCCTTTAGAGGGCAGAGGGTTTCTCTCAGCTGAATAAAATCATCTGGCATTAGTTAGAATAATATACAATACACAAGAGCAACACTGCTCCCAAAAGGGTTAAGGCAAGCAAACAGGTTTTGTATCTATAGTAAACTCTCCATTTACATGGTGGTTTAGTGCTGATGAATCCGGTCTATTTTGGAAAAAGATGCCTGGTAGAACGTACACAAACAAGTAGGAGAGGCGTGCCCCTGGGTTCAAGGCAGCCAAGGACAGAGTGATGCTCATTGTCTGTGGCAATGCAACTGGCCACATGATCAAACCTGGCTTGCTCTACTGCTCAGCAAACCCTAGGGCTTTAAAGGGTAAAACAAGAACCAGTATTTATGTTTCACCTGTTCATCTATTGATACTTTAATTATTTTAATTATAATTTATATCAATTTACTGTAAATGGATGGACAAGGTTAATTTTTGGGTTTGTATCTAAATAATGTTTCAAACTTTAGACATAGAAAATGTGGAAGTTTTTTGTTATTTCCCAGGAAGGATAATAATGTTAATGTTTACACCACAAATATGTCAAGTTAATAATGTTAATAATTTTCAAACTACAAATATGATAGTTTTATATTAATGTTAATGTCATGGAGACATCTTTTCAAACTACAAATACGATAGTTCCATAATAATGTTCAAACCACAAATACCGTATATACTCGTGTGTAGTTCGAGTTTTTAAGACCAAATTTGTAGGCAAAAAATTGGGTGTCGTCCTATACATGCGTAATAGTTTTGTTAGGTTGAACCCGTGCATGATGGGAAGGGCGAGGAGCAACTTTAAGCTTCAGACATGAAAAATATTTACCATTTACTACCAGTAAACAATGGAAACGTAAAATATGTACCAATTAGTAATGAAAAGTTGTGCAGTTCCTTCAGTAAATGAAGCTCACCAACTTACAATGGGCTAAATTACCTTACAACGTGCTTTCAGTAGTCTATGTTGAAGTTCTTAGCACAGGCTAACTTATCATATCATATACAGTATCACAGTTCTCATTGATCTACAAAAAATACCAGTAATAAAAACCTTTTCGATATTCCACACTTAATATAATACCCGGTAATCTACTTCAACCTCCTATTGTTTTCCAACGCATGACGCACCACCAGCTGTTGAGTTTCAGCTAGACGGTACACGTGTTTTTCGAATCGTTTTCAGTTAAAAAACTGTTATATCACATGTATATTTTACCTTAACTGTGCCTGATTGAATATATACTCGGAAATAAATAGTAGTTTTGCTGAAACGTGATATATTTTAATGTAAAATAGGATAAAATACATGACAAAAACAAAAGATTTTACCTAACCTTCCGATGTTCAAGAGAAGTTACTCGTTTTTTTAATAGTTTTTGGTTAAAATATTGTTACATTACAATGGTATTATTTTCATACTGTGCTTGATATAATGCATTCACGGAAATGTAATATTTTTGCTGAAATGACGTACATATTACAGTGGAAAGTGGGATAAAATCGTGACGAAAACAATGACTTTCGCTTTCTTTCGTTCAAAAGATGTTACCGTAATCGCTTTTCGAATGGTTTTCAGTTAAAAAACTGTTGTATTACGATAATATTCTATCCTAATTGACTTGAATAAATACTACGATACCATATTTCTGAATATTTTCATTAAAATTTATCCAAATCATTTTCCTTGTCATCGTCTGCAGCACCAAACAGCTTCTCCCAGTCCTCTCCTTGAACAGGGCTAGAGGGTACGTGTTTTTCGAATCGTTTTCAGTTAAAAAACTATTACATCACACGTATATTTTACCTTAACTGTGCCTGAATGAATATATTCTCGGAAATAAAAGTAGTTTTGCTGAAACGTGATGTATTTCAATGTAAAATAGGATAAAATACATGACAAAAACAAAAGACTTTACCTAAGCTTCTGTTCTTGAGATGTTACTCGTTTTTTTAATAGTTTTCGGTTAAAATTCTGTTATATTACAATGATATTCTATTCATACTGTGCTTGATATAATACATTCACGGAAATGTAATATTTTTGCTGAAATTACGTACGTATTAAAGTGGAAAGTGGGATAAAATCGTGACGAAAACAATGACTTTCGTTTTCTTTCGTTCAAAAGATGTTACCGTAATCGCTTTTCGAATGGTTTAGTTAAAAACTGTTGTATTACAATAAAATTCCCTCCTAACTGACTTGAATAAATACTTGAATGGAAATATACAATATTTTTGTTGAAATTACCCGCGTTTCAGTGTAAAGTGTCGTAATAATAAATGGTAAACAATTTGCCTTCGGCACTCGTGTTTCATGCACGGCGATCCTCAGTTTATAGGACGTAGAGCGTTTTTAGTGAAGGTTTTGTTGTTCCATTAACCTCAAAAACGTGGGTCGAACTATAAACGAGGAATATCGTAAATTAACGATTTCTTGGTCAAAAAATCAGGGTCGACCTATAAACGAGGGGGGTTATAGACGAGTATATACGGTATGTCAGGTTAATAATGTTATTAATTTTAATGATGTCACAGACACATCTTGTAACAATGTCATAAGTTTCCCGCCACCTGAGAGTTCCCGCCAATTTCGAGCTAATAGTGTGAAGGCCTTAGGCCTGTCTTCGACCAATGAGAAAGCCTATGAGGCGTGACGTCATGAAAGTTGTGGCGTCCCTTGTGAGCTGACGCAGTTTGAAAAGAGGAGTCTGTGTTTGGTCAGAGTTAAGTGTGGTTGTGGGTGTCACCTCCTCATATGGCGACTATAATGTGCGTACCTATTAGGTTTGACCCGTTTCCCGAAATGTATTGCGAGTTGTGGACCCCTTGGTTAGCAAGCTAGGTTTATTGTTTTGAGGTATAATTGTCAAACCCTAATACAGGTTGACAACCCTTTATCCGAAATTCCAAAAAGCTCTGAAAACCGAAAGTTTTTTGTGGAGCAATTTTTTTATTTTATTTTTTTTTTAAACGGGGATTAGCCCACCCAGGCATAGATCACTGACCCACATCGGGGCCTGGGGGGGGGCAAAAATGTAATAGTAATACTAATTATAATAATACTAATTATTCATAGTAAATAAAATTTGTAATTAAAAAATACACCAAAAATAAAATAATAATGATAACAATAATAATAAAATTTATAATAATAATAATGATAATAATAAAGAAATATACAAGAATGAAAAAAGATAAAAAGTGAGAAACACTACTTAAACCTATGAATTATTATTATTATTATTATTATTATTATTATTATAATAATTTTTATTATATTTTCGCCCCCCACGCCCCAATGTGGTCAGTGACTTGTGCCCAGGTGGGCAAAAAAAAAATCTGAAAACCGAAAAATTCCGAAATCCGAAATGCCTCTGGTCCCAAGGATTTCGGTTAAGGGATTGTCAACCTGTAGAAAGTATTCAATAAATACAGTAACCATTAATAAGTCTTAATTCATCCCTCCCTTATTAAGAAAGAGTGATGTGTTATAAATGTCTTGGTATTATGCAGTAATAAGGTGAGTCCTATATATACTGTAATAACTATCCCATATATCCCCTCTGTTAAGTGTGTATCTTAGTCCCCAGCTATCCACCCCCTCGCCTCTACTCTTGGTGTAGCCTAACCACAAACCAGCCGTTAGCCCTGTTTTCCCTTCCCCTCACACCCTCTCCCCAAACAAACAATTACCCCTCACTCCCTCCACCTCTCACGAGTATAACAGGAATAAGTAAAAGAAAGAATAAGAGTAAGTGAAAGAAGTAAGAATAAATAAATAAATAAAAAGACAATATAAAAGTAATTTGTTACAAAAAAAAAATGTAACATTAAATTTGGTATATAAAATATGTTACAATCTTTTCAAACTGCATGTCAGTTCTATTTTAATGTCATAGACACATCTTTTCAAACTACAAATATGAGTTCTATATTATCACACTGTAAATCTTCAGCCATGTAGTCTAAGAACCCTTCACAACTGTACTATTGCTCTCCTCAAAAATGAATGTTTCGTTGAAAAGTTCCAAGCACCACACACTCATTCATCCAGTGTGATTTTAGTAGCAAAAGTTGTACATTGCTAAGAAGGAGCGTTCTTAAACATGAAATAGGTGAGATTTATTTCTGGCATGTTATTACGGGATTTGCTTACCCAAGTTAACGATTTCCACTACAGTATTGTGTTGATATTGGCAGTAATAAATTTGTTTTGTAAGTCAGAATCTTCCAATTTTGCCATTGTACACAATATACTCTCAAGGCATATCAGACTTGGGCTTAAGTAGCTGTTCAACCGCAGGTGTCAGCTTCCCCAGTTTAGTGTTTACATACATATGCATGTAACATGGTTAGGTATATGTACAGTACAGTACAGTATAGGGTTTTTCTACGAGATTAGTATATTCCTCGCGGAGCTTGGAAGGTGTTACCGAGCGATGTATTAGCCCCTGTCTTATAGGCAGAAGTATTTATATAAATGGGTTAATTACATTAGACTTATGTACTCTATCACCTCCTGTAACTTTCCACTAGCTATGAGGTAACATGTTCTGAGCACGCGATAAGGTGTGCCCACGGGAAGTCACGTCACTTGGTGCGGAGTTAAGTATTAAGTAGCCGGCTCTCTGGCCACCTCTTGCAGCAGTAGTGTGATATCCTTGACTAGAGGAAGATGTTATTGAGAGCCATCATGGATGGTTCCGTCTTCCCACGAGGGAGGACGACGGATATATTTCCGTTCTCCCTCGACGGGTTCCTACTCATTCTCACTCAACTATCTCATCATCGACAGGATGTACTTAGCAGAGTTATATAAGATATCCACATTTAACACTCATAGCTACAGTGGTTAAGTTGTGGTGATAATCCTTTTTGAGAGTGTACCTAGAAATCTTTTATAATAAATACAAACAAAGGAACATCACTACAGAAGATCCAATAAACTTTGATCTATATTTTAGTATGTCTAAAATATAAGGTAACGTGCTTCTCAAGTGATTGTTACAAGTGGTGACAACCCAGGAAGGTTATTACATATATGGCAGTTTCACAAGTAACTGTTATACACACTAACAGTCACCTCAACAGATACACAGTTGGTAAAGGTAGAGATACTATGTTCTCCCCATTACTGTGGCATACTGTTACATCTGTTATTAAGAAGCAATTCGTTATAAGATGGGGGGTAAAGTACAACCCATCCCCAGTTTCATTGTTTTGAAGGACAACACAAGAGGAAAAGACCCTTTCAAAGTTACCAGTACTCTCAGACCCCAATTAAACAAAATAAATAATTATGATAAAATGCCATGTCGTCATGGCTGGATTATTCATTTTCAAGAGTAATGGCTGATGGGTTAGTAGTTGACTCAAGATCTAACTGGCATTATTTTGAGACTGGACCTATATCAAATTTTATAATAGTGAATAAAATTTTCCTTAGCCAATATATATATATTATAATCAACCAAAATTCATGAACATTACTCTGGCTGTTTTAAAGATGTTTGTTTACACTCATATATTTTGCCAATACAGTATCTGTAAACCCAAGGGTTACAATAGTCCAGAATATCAATCCATAAGAACTTTGTATTCCATGTGAATAAAAATATTTCATAAATCACCTCGTATATACAGTTTCCTCTTCCCCAAAGTATGACACAATCCTTCAACACGTGCACAGTAACTTGTAAATAATTCGACATCGTAAAAGCAACCATTTTTATTTCTTTGATATGAACAAATATATGATGCTGTATTTACAAGAGGAATCATTTGTAGATTACGGTGACACACTAACTGACAATAAATATAGCGAGATAAGATTTGAAAGATTATATAATGGAGTAAGAAAGAGTAGAGGTTTTGCCTTTCCTTCACGGAGCTATATACTTTATGAAATGTATCTGTCTTTCAAAACATCCTAAAACTACCACTGGTAACTGTAATCCAATAAGATAGACAAGCGCAAATATCACCAATGTGGGTTGAAGATCTATGTAACAGTATATGAAATTACGGTATTCTTTCTGATTAAACTAAATATTTACAGATTATATTCACAACAGTACAAACAAATAAAAGCTCAAGAACTGTACAACAGATTATAACATTCACGAAGACAATGTACAATATATCACATCCAGTCCAGTTTCTGATTGTTTGTTACAAAAGGTTATGAGAATGACATACCTGTATTGGAAATTAAAATAAGATGTTTCTCTCTCAATAACAATAAACTATTGCTCCGAGTAAACTTACTTTTGATATTAAAAGTAAAAAAGCTTACACTTATCCCTTTGTACTCAATCCATATGGATCTAATGAATGCATTAAAAATAAAGGTTCATTTTCTCATCCTTCAACAAAATGTTGATCCATTCACATGAAGTATCATATACCATGAACACTGTCTTATATACAGTGTATCATATACTATATCAAGTACAGCCAATCCAAAAAAGTATCTAGACTTCAGGGTCCGATGGAATAGAAAATGAGTGAAAACCTCAGGTGCATTCACAAATTGGTTGGGTTGGGTTTGTCTTCACCTAATGCTTCATATTCTTTTGGATGCCTGGGGTCTTAATTCTTTTTTGGATTGGTTGTAAAATGTGTAATATACAGTACTGTACACCATATACCACATACACTGTTAAAATATATCATATACCATATACACTTCATAATATACATCACATACCATGTACTGTACACTGTAATATAGATAATATTCCATGTACACCTTGTAGTATATAATCAAACCTAAATTGTGGACACTGATTTGCTCTATTGACTATTCCCATTATAATTATACTAGTGATAAGGTAAACATTCTTGCATAAGGGAAGTGTAACCAGTCACGTACCAGTTTGAATACTGTACTAAATTACTTTAAGGACTACAGTACGTATTGTGAAAAATTTAGTATTTAGTGATAATGATACCAACAAGCCTAAGTAGACACCAATGCTAACAGTTCATGTCAAATTATTTGATGTTCATAATGCACACTGCTTGTAGCTGCACATCATATTTACTTAGCAACTAAAATATTATAATGCAATTTTTTTTACAATAAATGGCATCCAAATTTCTGAGCAGTGGATATAGATTAGATTCAACCAGAAGCTTATATTTTGAACACAAAGTTAATTCTATATATATATCACACTCTTGCAACATGAAAGCTGAAGTAACTTAAGATAATAAAAATGAACTTCCTCTTGATTTCATCTTACTTAACATTATATTGACTGTGTCCTTAGGGGAATTAAATTAGATCTCTCTTCTAAGAAGCATATCACAAGCATTCATACACTTGTGCTTCTAAATAGAAATTATTACAAAGGTGTTGATCCACAACTTGGGAGCTTAAGTAAACATCATCACTTACACTGGTAGAATTAAATTGAAAGGTCTGTAAAACACCATCAGTACAAAACAGTAATATCATCCTTTGTTAAACACTTAAAATAAATAGTTACAAATCTTCCTTAAAAACAAAGGGAAGGGGAGGGGGGTTGTCAGCACTCTAATGTATGTCATCACTGACTCGCTGTTAGAACACTGAGGATTTTCCTATTGGCTCTAGGTACAGGTACTATAACACTTGTATGTATTTACAATAACGTATCCTGTAGACTAATTCATATGGAACTTAGTACTGCATTTCGTGCATGGGTGACTGAATCTAAAATAATTTCATAAGTAAACAAATAAATCAATACTGTATTCAATGAAGAAGACTAAGTACCCAGAGAATTCCCATCAGTTGGTGGGGTATCTATGGGGGGAAAATTATCAGTATACTGACTGTACTTTTCCACTTGCAATGGCAGGAAGAACGACAGCTGTATTTCCTTCATATCATAAGGTAACAAACTATGAGAGCACTTTCCAATCATATCTTAAATCTGGGAGCCATCTGTCACAATGATGACTTCTTTACAGGGATATGGCATCAAAGTGTGGAATGTCCTGCACTTGATCATCTTTAACCTACAGTACTTCCTTAAACATAACCAAGATCTAGAATATATGGAAAGTAATCAGTACAAATGTGTCCCTGAACACAGAAAATATATCGAGAGTTAAATATGAAAGTTGTACAAAATTATTAATACTTACGATTAAATGGAGTTTAACATAGTTTGCCAATATGTTAGATTATGTAGCCGATTTAATTTTTCATCCACAGTAGATGTTACTTCTAGCATTCTTATCTGATGATCAAATTAAGACCCTTTAATCAATGTTTAAAATGCTCTGTTAAGTTGTTCCATAATCTTGATTTGTTGCCAATATTATGGCAGCAAGTGCATGAGTCAGCAACTAAAGTACATTTTCCCTAAGTATAAACCTGTCTTGAAAATAAAAACATGTGGCTAAAATTAAAGATTAGTTACGGTAGATGTTCAAACAATATCTAAGTATCTGGCCATTACCTCTTCCTGTTGTAAAAAATTTATATTTTTTAACTGCTATATGCATGTAGTAACATTCTCTGTACATGTTCTGAAGAAATACTTGAGCATATGGAACTACTGTATGAGAATCTAAAAGGAGAGCAAAAATCACAATTTCACTAACAAAAAAAAAAAAACTATCCTCATTAATCACAGGATGAGAATAACCCCCTTAATAAATGAAGGATGGTCTTCACCCAAGGCAGGATGCACTGCCATACTTTAGGAGACAAAGGAGATATGAATCTGTAACAGAAGAAGAGAAGTTCTTTGGGTATTATAAGATATACAATTCTTCAAAACAACAATGTGATTAAACTTCCTTCAACCACAGAAGAAGAACATTCTCAAGTATAAATGGTAGAGTTGTATTCTCAACTACATGACGACTGTGTGATGGGCATGTTCACTATCCAAGTCTCTTCTACCACATGTGGGTCTCACGAATCTCTCCAATTATGACGTTGGCATTCTGAAGAGCCTAGGAAAGAAAGAGAACAGGTAATCTAATTTAAGATCATTAAAATAACATTGCTTTCCATTACACTCCTGTGGTTCTCCATTCATATCACTTATTAATTCAATACACAATACCTGTACTGTACTGCACATACAAAAATTAAGGTAATCATACATACACACACTAGCATAAAATTAATAAGGTTAATTCTATTTACCAATTTTATGTCCAGGAGTTCTAGAGATACGAACCCACTTTGTTATCACCTCGTTCTATTTTTGCAGCAGGTCTGGATGGTAGATGAACCCACTGTTTTAACCCATGATTGTGTTTATATCTTTCCAGCCTTTATTAGGAGGAGTACGTTGACTCAGTTGACATATTTTACCCATGCAGCCTCTCTTGTCAGGTTCTGATCTTTGAACTCATTCCTCACAAGCTCTCCCCCACGGCATTCTAGTCTTAACCCTAGTTCTCCACCCTCCACAACCAAACTCATGCACATCAAATTATGTATCCTGACACAATAAGGAAGAGTTTTGTTACTTATGATATTTGTACTATGGTGTCAATAGGATCACAGGGCCAATATACACAGTAAGAAGGATGTAGTTATAATCCATTTTTTTTTCATAACTGCCAATACTCTCTACCTCATCCTCAATATCTTACTACTGTACTTATTTTCTCTTTAATCTTTCAGCTATATGAAATAGTAAAGGTGCATAATCCCTCCCAGACACATGCACTACCCAGTACCATGGACAGGGGGATACACAATATAAAGTAACTTTACTTTCATTTACAGACTACTTTAATGATTGGGTCACCCGAAGCATCTCCACCCCAGCTTATTTCACTAAGATTAATCACCCGATAATGTTAACCTAAACCCAACCTCATCCCCTCATGAAGGGTGGTTGATCTTTAGGTGAAATAAGCTGAGGTAGAGGATTCTTCAAGTGGTGCTAATTATTTCTTCCTCAATGTACAGTACAGGGTAACAAGGTCAAGACCCAGAACCTAAGCAGTACCTTAAGCATCTCTGCAGCTTCCTTCCTTCGCTGAGCAATCTCTGGGGACTCCGAGAGGAAGTTATCAATCTCCTCTGTGCGATATAAGTGCTTGACAAGCTCTGATTGTAGATTGTCCTTAACATGGTTAACCAAGAAGTGCATAATGGCCTTAGGCACTTTGTCTTGGATACTTTTGCGAACGATGTAGAAATATGTCTTGATGAGGCGTTCTGTAGAAGCAATAAGTGTCATTAAAGAATAGGTACAAGCACTTACCAAAATGCCTACTAATTAAGTCTTAATTTTCATATATAAAAATCAATTATTTTCTTTATGACTTATGGGTCATTATATGTGACCTATGAGAACAGTGCCACTGAACCCATAAATTAACCAATATAAATTTATAGTCACCTCTGCTGTGCCAAAAATTTTTAACACTTTACATTTCAAAAATTACCATAAATAATTGCCAATATACATGCAAAGCAAAAGGAAAACTAAATATAAGATGAGTAAAGTAGTAGGGCTGGCAGGCTGGTAATGCTGCTTCCTCCCTCCAGCAAGTTTACTGAACTTTCTAATAATGTTCCATGAAAAAACTATTTAACAATTACTAAACTCGGTATAAAGTACTTCAAGTATAATGTATGTAAGTATGTATGTATGTATGTATACGGTACGGGTATATATATATATATATATAGAACCTTTACTCACCTATGACTTCACAATCTTTAGTCTCTCTCTCAGTCAGTTTGCGCGTCTGTTGCATGGGCACCTCTGGAAGAAGATTCACTGGCTTCTGTGGAGACAGTATGCCGCCCTCAGCTGGTGGTGGGGGGAGCTGTGGGATCTTCTCAATCTGCCAAGGCACACCACACCCACACAGGGGGGCAGGGAGGGACTAGTAAGCAAAAGCAACTACTGTGCATCATGCCAAGAGTCTGCCACCCTCGTCAGGAAGGGGCAAGAGTATGCCGTGCCAGAGACCCAGAAGCATAGGCTATTTATTACAGTTGTTTCATTATAGAAGCAAACCTCAAGACTTTTTTTTGTGCCTTACTAGTAGACATAGATATTTCAACACATGAATTTTCTACAGATTTTTGTCACTCAATACTGCTTTGGTAATCAGAGAAATAAACAGGTAACAAATGGATAATCTTTTTGAATTACTAGAAAGATCTACATCAGGTAAAGACTGTCATTCTTTAGGTATTAATTAGAGATAATAAGCAAAAGCATTGAAAAGCACAAGTACAGTATTCACGTGTTACTGGAGGAGCTAGCACATTACCCCTTGTAACAGAGGGCGTCCTGCCACATGCTTCAGATAGTAGCGAGATGTAAGTTTGGGTCTAAAACCACACTTGTTGAAGGCTAAATATCTCTCATGTACAATAAATTACTATCATATATTAACAACACACATCTGGTCAGAAACAATTAGTACCACAATTCTGTCCACATACTGTGAAGGATCAGTCATTATCATGTCCCATATCAGTATAAACAATGAGTCACTGATAGAACGATACAAATGTGATTACTGAACTCACTTGAAAATAAAAAGAAAAAAGAAGAATTGTTTATCGCTTCCCATCTAATCAGTTAAATATAGCACAATATATACCGGGGTAATCACATCAACAGGTACGACATAATCTACAGTTGAAGGCAATTAAATAAAAAAATTATTTCCCATAACACTTCGGTCAACAACCACATGTGCATAATTATCATGTATTATTTGTAAGGCTAAATAAGAACTGGTCATTGGTGGTATTAACCCTTTGAGGACTATGGTTTAAACCTCTGAGGACTATGGTTTAAACCTTTGAGGACGATGATTTAAACCTTTGATGACTATGGTTTAAACCTTTGAGGACTATGGTTTAAACCTTTGAGGACTATGGTTTAAACATTTGAGGACGATGATTTAAACCTTTGATGACTATGGTTTAAACCTTTGAGGACTATGGTTTAAACCTTTGAGAACTATGGTTTAAACCTTTGATGACTATGATTTAACCCCATGAAGATAATAAGTAGTACCATCATCTTCTAAAGGGTTAAATTATCACACTCATAGATTCAAACCCACCATCCACAGAGATAAAACCATCATCCCCAAAGAGCTAAAAACTCTTTAACAGTAGTCCTCCTCAAAGGGTTCAGACACACTTTGAAAACACATCACTTACCCACACACACACACACACACACAAAATTACCATTCAATCAGGTCAGAAAAGGTGTGCAGGAGGGGCTAACTAAACACAGCCCAAGACAGCACACCAAAACCCGAGACATTTGGTCGATGTATTTTTCTACTACACGTATAGTTTTTTTTTTTTGCATTAGGTGAGAACTTGTCACTTGTTAGTCGTTAAAGTCAAAAAGAGTAGAGAAGATGATGGTTTCCTTAACAATAGTATGGAAGAGGGAGGTAACAGGGAGATCACAGTAACATAGAGGTAACAGGAAGATCACAGTAAGAGGAAGGTAACAGTAACAGGAAAATCACAGTAACACAGAGGTAACAAAAACATGAAGGTAACAGTAACACATAAGTAACAGGAAGATCATAGTAACATGGAGGTAACAGTAAGATCACAGTAACACAAAGGTTAACAAGAAGGTAACAGTAACACAAAGGTTAACAGGAAGGTAACAGGACAGTAAAATCAAGAAGGTAACAGTAAGAGGAAGGTAAAAAAACAGGAAGGTAACAGGAAAGTCACAGTAACACAAAGGTAACAGGAATGTAACAGTAACAGGGACATAAACAATATAATAATAAAGAAAGGTAACTTAATAACCATCTAAGTAAGTAAAAATAACTAATGAGAAGATATGTGAAGGGTAATACCTAAGTCAATATTGTGAGAGTTACATTATTATACAGTATACGTTACATTACAAATTACACTACTGTATGTTACAACTATGTACGGTTACTCTACATGTTACAACTACTATACTATATATACTGCACTACACAATGTTACAACCACTAAGAGCTGTCACAACCTGTTACAACCACTAAGAGCTGTCACAACCTATACTATACAACCACTAAGAGAAGTTACAACCACTAAGAGCTGTCACAACCTAAGTGCTATACTATAAAGGAAGCACCAGGAGTACAGAGCAGTCACCATTTAGTCCCCCTCGAGCAGTTCCACTATAAAATCGAGTCCAACCAAACCTTTTATATCTTCAAATTAAAATTAAAACCTTTCTGGGACTATGGAAGCTCCAAGCTAAAGGCACATTTCAGAGACTGTATGAACTCAATTAGGTTAGTGTGACATCATAATAGAACACTGAACAGACAAGACAGATGGCCATTCTACTCAAGTCTCTCGAGGTAACTGCTACAACTATTATACACCAGTCTGCAAATTTACTTCTTAAATAATATGACTATTACACATAAGATGACCAGTGAAGTGTTGTTATGAGTGTGTTATGTAGAACTAGACACTTTTTTCACGAATTCTTTAATCTAAAATTTTGAGGAAATCTTCTTTATATTGAGAGCAAGTGGCCCACAATGGGCTGCTCCACAACAATAACAAATAACCCTCAAGAAAGGCAAGATATTTTTTAAAATAAATAATTGTTTCCAAGATTCATGTCGTTACTGAGGTGTCCGGTAATCAGGAGTTTTACGGTGTTTCATATAATTATTCTAAGTAAAATATATTAAAATCACACTATATCTCTGAGAAGTGATTGGCTACTGATATGGTTGAGATATATAACTAAAACATGCAAAGAAACTTCATTAATAATAAAAAAAAAAAAAAATGCTATAAATTTGACTGACTTGGCTGGTAAGCTTTACGAAACATCTTTACAAGCCTTAAATTGAAAGATGATACGGTGTAACACATAAAATTTAATTTAACACATTTAAGAGTTCATTGAAATGTATTGTATCAGTAACTAATTATTTATCCATTGCTAATGGTTACCTATGATCCTTTTGTTAATTATATAAGCAGACCAAAACCAGGTCCCTACTGTAAGCTTTTGTACACAATGCACTACAGTGGCCCCCCGAGTGTACTCCAGGTGATATATTGTACCAGGAAGGGTCGAGAGGGTCGACTCATCACAGAGGGAAGTTAACTTCTCGTGCAAAAGAGGAGGTCATGAGTTGGCTAAATTTACCAAACCGTTCAAAAATGACTTTAAATAACATACAAAGCTTGTCCTCATAAAGTACAGATCAGACATATTGTGGTGTTAGGTTCCTTTACCTCCAATGATAAATCAGCTTGTGACACATTCTTAAATATTAAAAGGGAAAAATCAGCTCCATCTCTGGGTAATTAATTTCTATCTTTCTCAAGAAAGAAAAATAGATTTTCTGTATGTGTTGATAAATATGTAGGAAGGCTCCACAAGTGAGGTAACATCATGTTGGTCTGGTCCACCAGGTAATTTAACTCATAATACACTGAGCAGTGGCACTGCTCCACAAGGTTCACCTGTTTCAGGTACTGTACAGTAATGCAGTATTACCTCTCTATACTGAAATAATTGGTGACCAGCCAGTTTGGTATAAGGAATTTGTTGGTAAAAAATTATGAGGTCAGTGGGAGGAAATAAAGTCTCGGGATGGTTGTCAACACAACAGTCACAATAGTTCGGGGGACCACTGCATCATGTTGCTTGCCTGCTGTACTATCTGTCTACAGAGTATTGTACTGTACAGTATTAGTCTTATTAAGCTTTTGCCCAATAAACAATAAAGATTTATTTTGACTACATAATACTGTATTAGTATTAATGGTAAGTACTGGTAAAAATATGAGGCACTGTATTACCTCAATCAAAGGAGGTCATAATGATATTTCCCGAGGTAATAATTATTAACCATAAGCTACATTGTGTACCTTGCTTCCTCATTCAAGCTCTCAAGCATTACATGCAATCTCAACAACTTATTCCAATTTTGGCAATAATATTTGGAAGTATTAACTCCTTCATCACTGTATGGCAGACATGTGTATGCTAACTAAAAATGCAGTCTGTCACACTGGATGGCCCATCCATCATACATACAGCCAATGCACTTTCCAAATGAGGTTCTTCATAAGAGTAAATTGGTGTTAATTTCAACTAATATTTAGACTAATGTTTGCAAATCAAGGAAAAACTCATAAAAACACATTAAAATGTTTAATCAACTCCCTGAGTCACGACTGTCTGACTTATGATCATCCACACTTACAAATGGGATCCCAATATAATCATCGCCAAATTTTTTAATTAAAATCCTTTTTTTTTCATTACTTTCATTATTCTATATTGTTTAGCATCACTTTATTTACAATATTTACATTAATTGTTTTGTATGGGATATTATTACTGTTTTGTATGAGCAGGGTTGTGCTTTAACCTAACCTATGGAATTGACACTGCTCTGACTCATGAACAAATCGATTTATGATCAGGGTCCAAGAACATATCCCTGCCATAAGTTGGGGACTGCCTATATAAAGGTAATTTAAAACTTACAGGCACAGCATAATTGGTTTTTCAAATATTTTAAATACAGTTAATTATTTCAAAGGTCATTAATTAAAAACTAATTACTGTATTAGAATTTTTAAATTGTGAACCCAGATCTTTAATCAGCATGTAAAGTAGTACATTTGTATGAAATGTGAATAAAATCCATAGTGTGTGTGTGTGTGTAATGAAAATGCTTACTGGTACATGATTTTAGAGATGTCATAATGAACTGCCATTCTCACATCTAAACTGTTACCGTACAGTGATGAAGAGGTTACAATAAATCTGAAACATAATGATCTTTCAACCACAACAAAAATTCTATGTGAA